TTCTTCCATAACATAATAATAATAAATAAACAAGGATTGCCTGCAAAGTATTGATTATGCGTTATTGCACATATGTTATGATAAAATGACTTGATGCTAAATTTTATTGCCAGTCGAGCTAATAAGCAAATTTTAAGAAATATCGATGCAATAAAATTACAGAAACTTAAACAGGTTTAGAATTTATGCATTCATAGTCGTCAGTTATGCCGCACTACAAAATATCGCAATAAATATCAGACGGTTAAGGTTTTACATTAAGAAAAAAAAATCAAAACTTTATTCATCCAGTTGTGTAATTTCCTTAATTTCGAATGTCTTCTTATAATTGCACAGCTTGATTACTGACCATAACAACTTTCACCTACAAAATTTATTTAAAAGAAAATATAAAATAAATAATCTTTTTTTAAATAAGGTTAAACTTTAGGATTGAAAAGTTTTCATTTTCATGTTCATACTTGGCCTTAGTATATTACTAAAGCTAAAGACAAAATAATTGACGTAAGCGAATTAGTAAAAATTAATATCAATAAACTGCAAAAAAGCTCGGGGGAAAAGGCTAAAATAAAATAGCTGTAGAAAGGCTAAGTATGAAAACGAAAATGAAAACTTTTCAACCTTAAATCTTCAATCAACTTCCATCTATTCTAAGGATTGAAAAGTTTTCATTTTCATGTCCATACTTAGCCTTAGTACAGCTGTTTTATTGTAGCCTTTTCCCCTGAGCTTTTTTGCAGTTTACAATTTGTTGATATTAATTTTTACTAATTGGCTTACGTAAATTATTTTGTCTTTAGATTTATTTACTTATTTGCTAAGGAATGTAACTGTTATTTTTAAAGAATCTTCAGATTATGAATTGATTCAATCAATCATTATTTTTGATAAGTCTCTAATTGGGTTAGTTCTATTGTTATATAAGAAATATTAACCAAACGACCCAATTGTTTAAAGGAGTGTATTTCTTTATGTTGCAAATGTCATAAAATGTTTGGTAAGACTTGGCCAAACAGGACGGACATTTGTGCCGGAGTCGAAATAATTATAAAAAAGATCAAGGATGATATTTAGAACCAGAAATGACCGAACATATTTTGTAAATTCTGTATCTAATATTAAAGATAAAAATGGCCGAATGGAACAAAATTATTTGATATTGGGATGGGGAAAATTTTACTAAAAACTCCACACACTCCACTCTCGCCAAAAGATTACCATACATTTTCAGAGTTCTGGACAATTAGTTGTGATTTCTTCTTGAGGTGGTAAACTTGTAGTTTGATTGTTTTCCATATCCAGGTCGTTAAAATTAAAACGGTCTTACAGAAAAAAAAACAACACCAAAACTGTAAGGATGCAAGGAAATCAATGTAACTAGAATCGACCAATGTATAAATAATCTAGTTGATTTACGTAAGTTATTACACTATGACTATACAGACTATTCGCAACATCAATGGTGTTGTTAAACGAGATAATTAAAAGTTAAATATTAATCATTTATGTTTAGTGTGATCTAATTGACCAAATTACTTCTTTCGATTATTTTTTTTATGTAAGGTCTTGGTTGAGATGAAAAAGTGTCACGAGCGGGATGCTAACCCAAGCCAGCCAAAGGTCGTGGGTTCGAACCCCGCTCTTGACACTAACTTTTTCATTTCAACCAAGACCTTACATAAAAAGAATAATTAATTTAAATTTAAAGTTGACTATCGTTTCTTGAAATAAATTATGACTTTTTTTCTTCTTTTCTCTTTTTATGATTTATAAACTCATTATGGTGGCTGATGATGCTGCAGACCAGCAACAGGAAAATCCGTACGCGTTTGGCCAATCTTGAATTTAGGTCAACCGTCATATTTTTTTATCGTAGCTTATCTTTAGTTGAGAAATTTCATCATGGATCCGTAGTTTTGGTCCGGCTATCTTCGCTGTTTTGATCTGTGTTCCATCATATCAACTTCACTGGTAGGTGTGTAAAGGTAAATGTTTTGAAGTGAATTTCACAATCAGATAATACAATTAGGGTCAATTGATTAGGAGATAACGTATAATTGATTATACGTAGTTTTGAAAAATAAAATCCAAAGAATTTTTATGTCAACTGCATTGGGTAGAAAAAACAGTTGGGATCTCTTATTCTCTTGTTTCATTGGGTTTCTCGCTCCAGTTGTCTGTTTAATCTAGTTCCGGTAGATAAATATGTTTTCTTCCAAAGTTCTACTTGCCGTTAAAATTCTTTCTTTTTTTTAGCACAGATACACACCCACTACTCGAAACCCTGAAAAATTAAAAAAGCGAGGATAGGCAGACCAAGGTGATCGTGTTTTTCAAAAAAAAAGAAAAAAAAGAAAAAAAGGAGAAATTTATGTACAGTATCTTGTCTAGGGACAAAGACGGTTGAGTTTTGTCAAAACGACCGAGCAATTTTTTAAGTTAAGTTCCATCCAGATTTTTTTAAAATCCAGGAATTCAATACTATAGGCTAATAATGCATATAAAATAAGCAGCTGTTTTGAACCTTCGCCTTTTAACTAGTGGGCTATCTCTTGCATCACCCTGTTTATATCGATTTTCAAGACCCAAAACTCTGTCAGATTAAAATCATCGAGAATAGGCACAAGACTAATGAAGTCTTTATGACAATTGATAACCAAAAAACGACTGTATGAAATTTTTTTGAGTAGGAGTTTTCGTGGCCAGAAAGAAACATAGTTGACTTTAGTTAGACCAAAATGAGAGGAAACTACCAAACTACACATCAATTTATTTTCATGTATCATAAATTTGTGGTCTTTTTATACGAAAAATCATTCAATACTGTCCGGTGACAGCATTTTTCCTGGTGGGTTTATCTCTTGCCACACCCTGTTTATACCTATCAAGACCTAAAATGCTGACAGATTAAAATCACGAGGATAGGCAGACCTAGACTAATGGTCTTTATGATAGTTGATGACCAAATAACAACTATATGAAAATGTCTGTACCTTGGCTAAACACTAAGATACATAGTTGACTATTATATAATAATCCTCATTGTGGCCTATCAGCACAAAATGATCAGATACGGCAAAACTACGGAGCAATTTTTCTCTAGTTCCATCCAGATTTTTGGTCTTTTTATACGGAAAATGTTCAATACGGTGGAATAACAATTATAAAATACGCAGCTGTTTTGGCCCTTTTTTACTACCTTGCCTCGCCTTGCTCTCTCATCAACATCAAAAACTTTGTAGCTTGCCTAGGGACAAAGATAGCCTGAGAATAGTCAAACGTCCTTTTGTCAGAGCAAAATGTTCGGAAAATACCTAACTACAGACCAATTTTTTTGCATGTTTCAACCAGATTTTTTGTATTTTTGAATAAAAAAAAGAGTCAATACTATCGAGTAATAATACATATATAGTGAGCAGCTGTTTTGGCCCTTTGCACCCTTTTCACTAGTCAGTTTGTGTCTTTCTTCACCCTTCTTATTTCCCTAATCAACACTCAAAACTCTGGCTGATTAAAATAACGAGGGTAGGCAGATTTAGACTAATGAAATATTTATGATGGTTGATGAACAAATAACCTGTATGAAAAATTTTGTGGTGCAGTAGCTTGCCTAAGGACAAAGATAGTTGACTTTCGTCAGACATCGCCCCACCTCTAAAATAATCCTCACTGTGGCCTGTCGAACCAAAATGATCGAAAACGACCAAATGACATACCAATTTTTTCAAGTTCTATCCAGAATTTTGATCTTTTCATATAAAAAATGCAATACTCTCGGGTAACAATACATATAAAGTAAGCAGCTGTTTTGGCCCTTTGCATCTTTTTCACTAGTCAGTTTGTGCCTTGCCTTGCTCCCTCATCCAAAACTTTGTAGCTTGCCTAGGGACGAAGATAGTTGAGAATTGTCAGACCAAAATGATCGGAAACTACCTAACTACAGACCTATTTTTTTGCATGTTCCAACCAGATTTTTTCTATTTTTATATAAAAAAGTCCATATTGTCGGGTAACAATACATATAAAATAAGCAGCTGTTTTGTCCTTTTGCCTTTTTCACTGGTGGATATGTGTCTTGCTTCACCCTTCTTCACTCAAAACTCTGACTGATTAAAATAATGATTTTTGGCAGACTTAGATTAATAATGTCTTTATGATAGTTGATGACCAAATAACACTGTATGAAAAAAATGTTGTGCTGTATACACAGACTTTAAGACATATCGCCCCACCTCTTAAATAGTCCTCGCTGTAGACGACCAGACCAAAATAATCGGAAACGACCAATTTTCTCTAGTTCCGCACAGATTGTTGGTCTTTTTTTTTATAAATAATAAATTCAATCGTGTAACAATATATACAAAATAAGCAGTTATTCAATAATGATTAATGCCTATTATTTGAAGGGATTTGTCCATATTTGAATGAAATGCGCGTCACGTTTGATCTTGTCAAATAACGCGATACAACGATGTTGTTAAACGTTATAACGGGGTACTGTCCTTGGCCTTCACGTTACAATCCCCCTTGGGATAACTTTCTCTCTCGAACACATTAACCTTTGAGTCAAACAATCTTCTTTCTCAGTCGAATACCGGCTCCGAAAAAAACTAGGAAATGAGTTCGATACCGTTTGTCGACCTTGCCTCTCCCACTGTCTAGGTCTAGGACAGTTAGAAACCCCGAAACTCGAACACATACGGGCACGACATGATCGGTCCTTTCCCTTGAAATCTGACTTTCCAACAATTTTTTCACATTCTCCAGATCAAACCAGATCAAAAAACATTCGGTCTTTAAACGCTCCTGGACAAATATAAGAAAAAAATAAAATATTTTTTCACGGTTTGAAAGTGTACTTTCACTAAAGGTGTCTGACCTGTTAGTGTAACGTTCAATGGGACCTATATTTCTTAAGGCTCCTGATGGACTCGACATAGTTGATACTTCTTAAGATTAACGTTCTCGAAACAATCAGGGATAAAAAAAAGTTCACTAACCTCGACGTTGCTGAATGTCTGAAATGCCGTGAACACGAACATGAAACCGAGACCGAGGACGGTAACGTTAAATAACCTTTTGTCGAACATGTCGGGCTAGTTGGGCTCATACGTGTTCTCAGGGAAATTGCGACAGGTCCAGACGAAAGCTGTTTACCGACTGACAACATAAGACGATCCATTCCCTGCTTTAAAACAGCGCATGCTCATTCACTCATTCACAATTGCCCTCTCACTTTTTATTCGTACCGTCTCTCTTTTTCCCCTCCAGCTCTCGAGAATCACGCCTTCCGTCCAACGTGTAATACACTATACGCGTAATATTTTTAGAGGTGGGGTGAACGGTCTGTGTCTTAGTCTCTAGGCAAGAACGAATATTACACATAGTTGTTTTATTTGTATAATAAGATGTATTTTCACCATGTCGTTTTCGTTTATCTTCGCTTGAATATCGTTTTAATCTGACGCGTCCCGGCTTGTAGCTGATGAGGAGGGATATAAGCAGGGTGATGCAAGAACAAACCCGCCAGTTAAATTGCGAAGGGCCAAAACAACTGTTCGTTTATTTCTTTATTTCTTTATTTTTGTTATTGTATTTTATTGTTACCAGACTGATCATTTTGGTTTGTCAGTCCACAGAGAGGATTATTTTAGAGGTGGGGGTATGTCTGACAAAAGTTAACTATCTTTGCGCCTAGGCAAGATACAGTTGTTATTTGGTCATCAACCATCATAAATAGTATATGTTGGATTAACTACCTGAGTTGTGTGTTGATCAAGAATATGAGAAGAGTGAAGCACGACACAAACCACCAGTAAAAAAATCGTAGTGGCAAAACCGCTACTTACTTTATAAGTATTATTACTCTATAGCATTTACTTTTTTTAATATAAAAAGATCAAAATTCAGGAAAGAATTTGGAAAAATTGGTATGTCATTTGGTTGTTTTCGATCACTTTGGCCCGACAGGCCACAATGAGGATTATTTTAGAGGTGAGGGTGATGTTTGACAAAAGTCAACTACCTTTGCGTCTAGGCAAGCTACTGCACAACATTTTTTCATGCAGTTATTATTTCATCAACTATCATAAAGATATTATTATTCTAGTGTCGCCTGTATTCGCTATTTTAATCTTTCAAAGTTTTGAGCGTTGATGCGGAAAATAAGAAGGGTGAAGCAAAACACAAACCCACCTATGAAAAAGGCAAAGGGCCAAAACAGTTGCTTAGTGTACATGTATACCCGATAGTATCGACTTTTTTTATATAAAAATAGAAAAAATCTGAAGAACTTAAAAATGATGATATGCAGTTTGGTCGTTTCCAATTTTTTGGTTCGACAGACTGCAATGAGTTGGGGCGAACGATTTTGGACCGAAGTCAACTGCCTTTGTCCCTAGGAAAGTTTCAGCTCAAATATTTTTCATACTCTTTTTTTAATATCATTAAAACAACCTCTCATTTTCGATCATCTTGGCCTGCCAGTCTTCACTATTTTTGGGTGTTGATGAGGTATATAAGAAGGGTGAGGCAAGACACAAACCCACCAGTGAAAAAGACACCAAAACAGCTGCTTATTTTATATGTATTATTACCCGACAGTATTGACCTTTTTTGCATAAAAATACAAACAATCTCGTTAGAACACGAAAACAAAAACCCACTGGTGAATATGGCGATGGGCTAAACTTGGATTCGCAGCCAAAAAGACCAGAAACAGCCAAGCTACAAAGGAGAAAGAAAACATATCTAACGTTAAAGTTTTTTGAATTTTATTTTTCAAAACTGTGTACAATTAATTATCTCCCAACTATACCAAATTCAGTTACCTGATTGTGAAATTTACATCAAAACATTTACCTTCACAAAAGAGATAAGTTGAAATGTAGACAGATTAAATCAGCGATGACCAAAATGATCGGAAACGATTAAACTAGTGGTTTAACATATACCGAAGGGCGTAAATAAATGTCATGAATACAGATACGCTACGATAAAAAAAAAATAACAAATAAAAATGTCACGGTTGCAATAAATTCAAAATTTTACAAAACGACTATGGTTTAGCTGTTTCTATTCTGTAGCCAATATCTTGACGTTACAAAGTAAAAAGGGGAAAAATACAGGCTTATCGCCTTTTTTATTTGCTATGTTAATATGCTATATTATAATTTATTACATAATTAATTCATTTTCTATATAATTCTCTCAGTTGGTGCTCCTTGATTTTCCTGAACGACAGTTTATGAGTTTTTCGGACGAATTTGTTAAATTTTATGAGGAAGATTTGTCTCGATGTTCTGAGTTAATAAATTTTATGATTTCCTTTTAAAATTGATCTGCCACCCTGTGCTTTGTGCTCAAAACAAAACAATATGATCTGGGATGTGACCAAGGAGAGGAATATCTATGGGCAAAAGACATAAATAAAAGCCCGTATTGTAAATAGATTACAATTAATTAAGGTTTTTAGTTGAGATAAAAAAATCAATGGTACGAGCGGGATTCGAACCCACGATCTTCGGCTAGATACGCCGCTGCTCTCCCACTTGAGCTATCGTGACCTCGAAACCTGAGGTGCGCTCGTGCCATTGACTTTTTTATCTCAACTAAAAACCTTAATTAATTGTAATATATTAATTGGTCAAGCGGACCACGAAATTAGTGAATTGTAAAGAGAGCCTATTTAGATAAAATAACTGTTAAAATGCTGTTGCCACTTTTTTCAAGAGGCTCTGCCCGCAGGCATAGAGGCTATCTATATCTGTGCTTTTACTTCCTGAGGTATGACCTTCACGTCCAATACAACGTCGTTGTAGATAATACATAAGTTCCTGTGCCTTCTTTAAGATAGCCACGGGATTAAGGCCAAAGCAGAATCATAAAATCGTGAGGCGTTTTAGTTTTTAGAACTCGTTTAAGGACGACCCCGGTACGACCCAACAAAAAATCCCCGGAGAAGAACGTGCATAGTCTAAAAATCTCCCGCCTGGGTTCAAAAAAGAAAAAAAGGCGGGCCAGAGAAAGAGAGAGGAGAAAGTAAGGCCGAGTCCCATGGGCATTAACATAACGTCAAAACTAGAAAATGACAAAACTTCCTTGACTCAAAACCAATTCTCTGGTACGTAAGAGTGTAATTACCCTACTCGGATGTAAATACTGGCCATGAAAATGACTAGGCAAATGAAGTCACCCAGAGTCAATACGAATATCTCAATTCTCTGCTTCGGGCTGAAAAACGCCTGGGACAAGGATGAAAATCAGGTCTTATCTATGCAACGGTGACAGTAAGTGAGGACCCTACAGAACTTCAATTCTAGAATGGCTATGTTGACAGAGAGTGATGCTGATCACATTTTAACCTGTTCGACTTTGATATGGTTTGTGAAATATGTGAAATAGAAACAAACTAGGACTGGAGGATTTCGGACCAGGTTCTGTTCTTCGTACTGGAGCGTTATGTAAATCGCAAATATGGTGGTGCAATAAATCGCACTACTTAAACCATATCAATTTTATGGCCTTTCTAGATTAACTATGTTGATTCTCTGCTTAAGCTAAGAACGGCTACTCAAATCTTAAGCATAGAGGCAGCTTCTACCAACTTTGTTTCGTGGTTGTTTAAGTGGATATGTTCTCACTTCATTCAAGGATTGTCTTTTTGTGTGAGAATTGTCTTTTACTATACTCATTTCTAAAGTTCACTAACCTCCCAACCACATATCCTCTTACAGACCTCTCAGCTTTTTCCTTTAATGTCTAAAATTGTTGAAAGAAACGCTTAATACCCCTCATAGATACTCATGAAATCAGTCCTTCCCACCAATTCGGTTTCCTCCACATCATTCCACGATCCAACAAGGCTTCAGAAAAGCAGACCTCTGTTCTAGGGAATAAAAAGTATTGCTTGCGTTCCTAGATGTAGCACAGACTTTTGAAAGGGTCTGGCAACCCAGTATATTTTAAAAACTTAAACGCTTCCTACCCACTCCTTGTTATCTTATCCTAAAATTCTACCTAACAGGCCGCTGCTTCAGAATGAGATGCGGCAACGAGTTCTCGGAAATCAGACAGATACAAGCCGGCATCCCACAAGGGAGCATTCTTGGTGCCATTCTTTATATAATTTATACTGCTGACCTCTACGCTAATACCGTCACTACCACCTACCCAGACGATACTGCAATTTTGTCCTCTATCTCGAATCTTATCCGAGCTACCTCCAACATACAAGAACACCTTGAGCTTATCGAATACTGGTGCAAAAAGTGAAGGACAAGAATGAAGTAAAATGTATTCACTGAACGTTCACATTGAGAAAACAGTCTTGCCCTCCATTGTACATCAACAACAAAAAGATACCGACTTCCATTCATGTCATATACTTAGGACTGTACCTAGACAGCAGACTACTTGAAAGCCCCATACAAGACTTAAGGACAATTCAATAGAAAACTACTACGAAGACTTCTAGGAATAAAATCTGCCTTGACCCTCAAAACTAAACCAACGTTACACAAGACTTTACTGCGACCACGTTGGGCATACGGAGTGGAACTGTGGGGCTGTGCCAAGCCGTGCAATATCCAGCGCATCCAATCCTTCCAATCAAAAGTCCTCAGACAAATTGTCAAAGCTCCTTACTACGTAACTAACCTCACTATCCACGACGACCTCAACATTCCTTTTGTCAATCCGTTCCCGATTCCAAAAGTTTCACACCAACCTCTCGATCCATCCTAACTCTACTGTCCGAGCTCTCTCTACACACTGCCATACCGAGAACCCGCCACGTCGCCTTAACCGATGGCTTCGCGACCTCCTTGGAGCTAGCATTGGCTGGTTTCTCATGGCATTAGTGTTAGTGTTGTGACCGTGTGAAATTTTTTTTATAATTACATTTGTAATATGTACGAATATGTATAGGGTACAAATAAAATAATTTAAAAATATTAATTACTTTTTTTTAATAACGGTATTTCAACTACGAGGTTATATGAACCCTCAGGGTGCCGATGTTTTTGAAAAAAAAGCCCATTTGTAAGTACATGTATCGGGTTCGAATCCAGCGGTCCTACATTCGAACCCGGGACCTTTATCTTACAGTATCAATGCCTAAACCGTTGCGGCCACCGACGTCCCACTTTTCCAATTTGATAAATACTTGAACGGTGGACAGTTGTAGATCAATCAGTGTACCAGCAAACAGTGTCTTTTCTGCATGTTTTGTTTATACACCCATTTCCTTGTTTTGGTACCTCTTTTTTAAATTGAATTGCGTGGATTTCAGTTTGAAAAATACTGGCGTAATATGTAGTAGTGTACGTACATGGGTAGTAGAAAACTAGAAATAGTAAAGGTGGGTTGAGTAGAGTTTCTTTTTTGTCTCTTGTGGGGACTACCACGGGTAGTTCTAGATCCATCCACTATCCATCAGCGTACCAGCAGATGTCTTTTCTGACAGGTTTTGTTTTAAAATGATGACTGATGTATTTCTCGGAGGCGGGAGTTACTGACGAAGGATTGAGCTGAGATTTGTTAAATGACGTTGCAACCACGAAAATTTTTTGAAATGTTTTTCGAGTAGCGGGAATTAGTGGAGGTTCAAGTGTACAAGTACGAATCGAAAAAAGATCGATGTAATACCCGCTAATCGTCAAGGCTCCCCAGTCCAGTCCGAATAACCGTCTACTTCTGCACCAGGATCCCGCTCGTACGGCGTCCTTTAATTGGCTTTTCCACTCGGAATCCCATTGCTAGTAGAAAAAAAGCGAAACCTGACGATGGAAGGAGATGTCGCCGAGAAATTGCCCTACAGGGCCGAGTATGCCAAAAGCGGAAGATCCAACTGCAAAGCATGCAAAACATCTATTGAGAAAGGCGCCCTACGCCTTGCCTGTATGGTCCAAGTAAGCTTTAAATTTCAATTATACCGGCATTTATTTCACACCAATGCAATCTTCTGGTTTGCCAATTTTAAATTTATACACTGCATACAATAGTCAACGTAATCCAGTTTGCATAGCCCCTGTATTATACGACAGCTTGCGTACGGGATATGCACTACAAAGTACGTTACTTAAAAAGCGTTTAACAGTCAAACTCGAAGGCTTCTTAATTGTATTTTGTCTTTACTTTTCTAAACAAATATATATTATTGAAAAAGTTAGGGTCATTACAAAAGCAGATCTAATAAACCTTACAAGTTATTCATCGGTCCTACCTCACAGGACAGAACTTCCGAGTTCGCCAATGGTCGGGCTCTGACAACTGACCGGTGGGAACGGGGTACCTCAGGGCAGTGTGCTCGGAATTTCAGACGACTCAGCCGTGCTTTTCTCTAAATTTTGACAACAAATCAAACTGACACTCCACAAAACATTACTGAAACTTATATGGTCATATGGACTTCGAACAGTGGGACACTGCTAAACCTGCTAATATCCAACGAATACAGCCCTTCCAGCTTAATCCTTCGGTCCTACCTCATAGGATGAAACTTCCGAGTTCGCCAATGTTCAAACTCTGAAAGGGAGTGCCTCAGGACAGTGTGCTTGGACCACTCCTGTACCTTTTCAACACCTCAGAGGTCCCAACTACACATTTTTTTTTCTTTGATCCCAATCCTGCAGTCGCCTCGGAGGACCTCCAGGCCCATGTCCAACGAATAACCGAATGGAGCAAATTTTGGAGGATAAAAATCAATGAAAACAAATGCACCCATGTTATCCTTAGAAGCAAAACCCCTCACAATATCCCTCGACAACATTCCTATCCCTACTGACTTGCCATGTAACCTTGACCTTGGGTTTTATTTTGAATGCTTAACCTGGAACTGACACATACAACTACTTGGATGGAAATCTAACATGTTTACAAAACAACAAACTGACACTCTACAAAACATTACTGATGTTGTCATATGGACTTCGAACAATATCCAACAAGCACAGTCCTTCCAATCCAAAGTCCTCAGAATCATAGTCTCCTACTATGTCTCCAATACCACCCTCCACAACTACCTCAAAATATCCTTTGTAATAAATAAATCCCCACCAAATTTTCCACATCTATGAAAAACTATCCTCACATCCTAACACATTAGCCCGATCTGGGTCCAACATTACCCATCCCTACACCCAGAAAGGCGATTGAAGCGAAGATGGCATTATGAATAGTTCGTAAATAACTATTCAGAAAGCTGGGAGAGCAACAACGGGTGCTGGTTCCCCTCAGGATATATGCAAATGATAAATATTTTGTCACGTTACATAATGTATATATTTTTACGGTTGGTAATAAATTAAAAAAAAAATATATATATAATAAAAAAAAAACAACCTCTAGAGTTTGTTCTGTTGTCATTTCAGTAAACTACATCTTAGTATTGAAATGATTAAAATTTATGTAATTGTTATTAAAGCATTGTTCAAATGAAGCTGAAATATCCATATTTTATGTAGTCAAAAATTTTTAGGTTTGGCCTTTTCTCTATTTTGGCCTGCCTACCCTTGCTGTATGGTATGTCATTTGTCTTTTCGACATCATCAGTGGTGGGTCTGTATTATTGTGTCTATTTTGTCAATAGAGTACTTTCATAAGTATAGCATACTGATCACTTGATATGTCTGACAAACTAAAATAATTGGAAGCAATCCACTTCATGACATTGATGTGTCTGGGAACCATTACTTTTTCACGTGAGGCATGTGAATGCTAGATAAATCTTATCGGAGGACAAAATTTGGCTAGGCTTTGCCAAAAATCCACCTATTGGTAAAATGTTGAATTTGAGGAGAAAAAAATGAAGGCATGTTCTTTGGTCATTTTTTTATCATTTGGTCAACTCTCTGTTATGTCTGACAGACGTGATTTGGTAATTAATAATCTTCAGATGTGGGTTTACGTGCTGTTTATGAGAAATAAATTACACTTTGATCCACCTCTGAAAACTTAATCATGCCCTTTGTAAAATTGAATGTCAAAATGAGTCTGACAGATCAAAAATGTGAGAGTAGATCAGAATGATTGTAAATGACCAAACTACGCATTCATCATCCCACCGACATAAACAAATTTTGAAAAAAAAACAACTTAAAATTAGGAAGTTTGAGAATTGATAGTACTCTTAACTTATTTTACTAGTCCATTCATCAAGGTTTTTATTTGGGTTCATATTTTGAATCTTTAAATCATGAACTTTGTAGAATTTTTGGATCCTTGCAACTTAATTAATTTTGATAAGTAAAAAGTAGAGTTGATGCTGGGTGTGGGTCTGCAACTCAGTGAACTCATGCTGAATCGGCATTGGGTCATTTATTGAGTCTGTTTTCACTAACTGGTTTGTTGAACTATTCAAACACGTTTTGGCATTGCGCCATGAAGGCACAATGCTGAAATGCATTTGTGTAGTTCAACAAATCCTCGAGTGAGGAAGGACCCATTAATTGACCCAATGCCGGATCAGCATAAGTAAAAAGTAATTTCTGTCACATAGGAGGGCTTAAGGTCGAACTACCCATTGGGTGATGCAGATGAGGGATTAAGCATACATTTTTCATACTATAATCCATTAAAAAACCATGAGCTCTGCCAGGATTCAAACCCAGATCCACTAGCGTGACAAACATGGCTTGGACTAACTATTAAGCCACCTGATCCCATAATTTTCATTAGTTGGCCTTGCATTTTTTTTATCCTGACAAAGTTTAACAGAGGGGAGCTTGATCATTTGATAGCTAAATTTGTTCTTGATGATTTTTACTATCATTTGATAGTAAAAACCTTGAGATTAAGTCATCGTCAATAACACTGCAAACATTGTTAAGTACTGCATGATCCGACTTTTCTAAATTTTACTTCAATGTTTTAGTAGTAAATTTCACAACTTTCACAAATTTATCGCGTGAAGCCTGTAGGTAGTGCAAGTGTAAAAAATATAAATGCAATTCGACAACAAAAGCAGTGTCGTAAAATAAAATTGTAGTTTGGCAAAACATGGAGATGTAGGATTTTAGTCTAATTTACATTATCCAAAACATTTTCCTAATATACTTGTTCAAACAAGGCAAACTTGTTTTCTTAATAAACATTTTAATTAAAAAAAAAATCATTTTTATTTGTTCTAGTCTCCCTTGTTCGACGGCACTGTTCCTAACTGGTACCATTTTATTTGTTTCTTCACCAAACAAAGGCCAAAATCTGTAGGAGACATAGCTCATTTCGATTCTCTGAGGTGGGATGACCAAGAGAAATTAAAGGCAAAACTTAGTAAGAAAAAAACATTTTTAATGCTACTCTTTAATTGGTACGGTTAAGGCACTTGTAACTTAAAAGAAAGTCATGGAACATTATTTGGACAAATAAAATATATTTGCAAGTGATATCCGACATCTTCAAAAATTGTTAATGTATGTGTTTAGATTAGCCACTTAAGGTAAAAAAAAGAAGAAAGTGAGCGATGAGCACTAATGAAAATATTTCCCTGGTATACCTTTGTGTGAAAATCATTATTTCATTGTTTAGCTTTAATCAAAGTTTTTATAAATATTATAATTCAGGCACGATTTTGATTACTTTTTCTCAAACGTTTTATCATTTTATACAAGCTGAAAAACATTATTTTACCTTTAATAAACAAGAAAATGCTCCATGACTTTATTTCAATTGGTTACATCATAAAATATCTGATCTTATCCATATATTTAATTTTAAATAAAACCTTCTTTACATAAGTGGAAGCAAGTGGTGCTCCAATTACTGCAAAAGCTGGTAAAAAAGCTTCTAAACGAGGTAATGAAGGCATGAAAAATCCTGCCTTGAAAGATTTCAAAGTTGAATATGCCAAATCTTCGAGAGCAATGTGTAGAGGTTGCGATTTGAAATTATCAAAGGTACTATAATTTTTCTTTCCTAAAATACCTTTTTTTTATTAATTGAAAATTTTTCCTTAAAGGGAGAAGTAAGAATTTCCAAAAAAGATTTTGAAAGCGAAAATGCTAGGATGTATGGCGGGCAAGACAGATGGCACCATGTCGAGTGTTTTGTAAAATTGAGAACCAATCTTGAGTTTTACGAGTCAGGCGCACTTTTACCTGGCCTGAATGAGCTAAAAGCTGAAGACCAAAAAACAGTCAAAGACGCTCTTCCTAAAATTGACCCGTAATGGCCAAAACAACATAGTTTCTTTTGTATGACATTTCATAATTTGTATTTATATTAAAGTCCGGCCACAGTTAAAGATGAAACAGACGGCCCACCCCCAGAGAAAAAAAAGAAAGAATCAAACTCAACAGGCGAAAATGAAGAGATGAAGAAACAAAACAAAACTATGTACAAATACAGGGATTCGTTGAAAGCTCTTACCAAGACTCAACTTACTCAACTCTTAGTTTACAACAATCAGGAAGATCCTGTTGGAACTGACAGAGTAGATTTTTTTCACCTAAAAGTTAAATTTTTAAACCTTTGCAATTTTTATGAACATGCATTTTGTATTGTTGTAGAAATTAGACAGATTAGCCGATGTGATGACCTTTGGGGCCTTGCTTCCTTGCGAGGCTTGCAAGGGTAATTTTGTCTATCGAACAGGTGTAGGCTACCAGTGTCAAGGTGATATCAGCGAATGGTCCAAATGTGAACAGGTGGAGCAAACTCCCAAACGCACTTTGTTTAAAGTTCCTGAAGATTTAGCCAACAAATTCCCATTTCTGTATGGTCCAAGCAATATTATTATGTGTTAAATATAAATAATAAAACTGATTTTCATTCTAGAGAAAAGTACAAATGTAAAATTGGAAATAGAATTATATTAGATGTAAAACCTACTGTCTCTTCAGAAAGTGTAGAAACAAAGTGAGAATTTTAAAAAATTTACAAATAAACATTACATAAACAGCATTTTCATTTTTAAAAAAATTGTTTCAGTAAGGTAGAAAGGTTTGCACCATTTAGGAATATGGTGTTCTTCTTAGTTGGAAAAACCCCGACTCCCAAGGCTGAACTGAAGAAGAAGTTAGAGATGTGGGGAGGAAAAGTTGCATCGAAATTGACAACTGATGTCGTACTAGTAATTTCGACGAAAGGTATTACCTTCATAAGGCTGAATTCTGTGTTTTACAGGAAAAAATTTTTTTATATTGTACAAATTTCAGAGGAGGTGGATAGGCTCGGCTCCAAAATGGAAGAGGTGAAAGAACTGAATATTCCCGTTGTCCCTGAACTTTACATCGAAGCCTGCAGTGAGGCTAATCCAATTGATAAAATCTCCGAGCAAATCATCAGTCCTTGGGGAAATGATGTGAGTTGATGTTTTTTACTTATATTGTTGAAATAAAAAACGACGTAAAAAATATCTCTAAATGTAATTTTGTTTCAGCCAAAAGCAAGAATACAAGACATCATTCAAAAGTCTTCCCAGAAATCTAAAAGTTCAAGTAAATTAATATAAATTCTAATTGATGGCAGATTTTCAAAAATTTGATTTTTAGGTCGGTTCACTAAGAAAAGTGCATCAAAAGTAAAATTAAAAGTGAAAGATGGATCGGCAGTCGATCCTGACTCAGGGCTTGTTGACATTGCTCACGTTTATAAAGAAAACAATGACACGTACAACTGTATACTCGGGCTTTCTGATGTCCAATCTAATAAAAACAGTTACTACAAATTTCAACTTCTTGTATCAGATTCTGGAAGAGAGTATGTCGTTAAATGAAAAGATGTGTGCAACTGGTTCTCATTTGTTCGCAATTGTCTTATAAAGGTTCTTCATATGGCGAGCTTGGGGAAGAATCGGTACAAACATTGGAGGCAACAAACTCGACAAGATGCCAGACATTCAAACTGCCAAGAGAGAGTTTAAAGCTTTGTTTGAAGAGAAAACGGGCAACCGATGGAAGGACAGGGAAAACTTTGAGAAAAAGCCGAAGCTTATGTATCCCATTGAGGTTGACTACGGGCAGGTGAACATATAAAGAGAATTTTAGAATGTTAATAGAATTTCAATGAAGTTATGAGTTAATATCAATTTTCGTTTTTAAGTCTGATACTATAAAAATGTCTCATGAGTCGTCTGTTGAATCCAAGTTACCAAAGCCTGTTCAAGATCTTGTTGCAATGCTATTTGACGTAGAAATAATGAAAAAAGTCATGATGGAGTTTGAGGTATCCAGTTTGTTTAATGTTATTCAAATTTGAATTTGAAAGAGAATTTGGTTGTTTTAATTTTTAGTTGGATCTAGAAAAAATGCCGTTAGGAAAACTGAGCCGTAAGCAAATCCAGAAGGCGTATGCTGTTTTGTCTGAGCTTCAACAGAAAGATTGTGATTTGAAAAAAGGAATCATCATCGATGCCACCAATCGATTTTATACAATTATTCCACATGATTTTGGTACCGACACTCCTCCTTTATTAGACAATAAGGAAATAATTCAGGTATTTGGCCTTTTTGAAATGAATGAAATCTGAGCTCGAGATTCTCACCATTTAACGATAATTTCCTAGGCGAAACTGGAAATGCTTGAAAGTTTGATGGAGATGGAAGTCGCCTACAGTTTGCTGAAGGAAACTAAGGGCGAAGGAGACGACAGTCAACATCCACTTGATGCCCACTACAAAAAACTCAATACGGATATTGAAGTCCTAGACAGATTGAGCGATGAATTTAAAATTATTGAAAATTATGTTAAAAACACTCATGCAGAAACTCATTCCAACTATAAACTTGAAATCATGGAAGTATGTTTAATTTTATGGCTTAGTTTTTTCTCTTTATTTTATTTTTTTAAAACATTTTTTTAATGTTTGAATGTAGATATTCAAAGCGAAGAGGAATGGTGAAGATAAAAGATACAAGCCATTCAAAAAGTTGCCTAACAAGAAACTCTTATGGCATGGTTCTAGGATTACCAACTTTGTTGGCATCCTTTCACAAGTAATCAATTCAACAAAACAAACAATTCAGTTCATAAACTAAAATGTACAATTTTAGGGATTGCGGATTGCACCACCTGAAGCTCCAGTTACCGGATACATGTTCGGTAAAGGTGTTTATTTCGCCGATATGGTTTCAAAATCAGCAAACTACTGCATGACGTCCATTGCTAATCCAGAAGGATTGTTGTTGCTTTGTGAAGTCGCACTTGGAAATATGTGAGGATTGATTTAACAATTTAATTTTAAGCGGGATAATATTAATATTTTATTCTAGGTATGAGAGAACTCATGCTGAATTTATTGAAAAGCTTCCTTCAGGCAAGCATAGCACTAAAGGTGTCGGTGCAACTCAACCGGACCCCACTGCTAGCATAACGACTCCAGAAGGGGTTGAGATACCTCTAGGAAAGGGTGTTCAATTGACCGATAGATCAACTACTTCTCTTCTTTACAATGAGTATCCTTTTATAAATATTTTGTTAATTTTGGTCATACAGACGTCCAACAATGTTATTGGGGGGTTACTCTTGATGTTATGGCGACCTCTCTTCTTGCAAATGATCCTATGGTGTTTAACATTTTCATAAAGGACTCACTTCTCATACTCAGCCACCAATAGAAAAAGCCGTTATTTTTGGTTTCTGAGGGGATGAGTCATGAGTCCCCCCCTTTTTTTTTAAACACAACGTAACACAGAGATTGGATTCCTCTTTCTATTGAAATCTCTCTAATAGCCCTGCTATGGTTAATTGTCCTCTAATTGCCAATAATAAGCCGTTGCTTTTAAGCTCGTTAGACCTTTCACAATAAAGCTGTTCTTTGATTTATAATTTGCCATTATGAAATTGTTGGATCCACTATTGACACACATGTTCACTTATTACAAACATTATCACTGTAAATTCCCTATAAATTTCAACAGGCAAGCATTGCCCCAAATAAAATTTATCGGCTTTCGTGCATTCTGTGTGCAGTTTATTCTAGCCTGCCGTTTTGCGCTCAACTACCTCTTTCTTATCAATCTCTTTCTAAAAGGACCTTTTTCCACAATAGAGCATCAGGGCTAGCAGGTAGTAATGGATTTGGAAGGGTGAAAGTTAAAATTGAAAACTAGATCTCTAGGTGAAAAAACAAATTCAATTGTTATCTGCCAAGCTTTCGACCCATTTACGATCATATCAGGGCAAAGTAATCTTAATTTGATATAATTAAGTTTCTACAAATGGTTTAAATTTTATTATGTTAATTTGTAAACATCTTTTGAGATTGTTTTGCCCCGATGATGGTCTTAAAATAGGTCAAAAGCTTGTCAGATAACAACTGAATTGGTTTTTTCATCTAGACCATATGATATCCAGAGTATTCGTGAGTAAAAAAGTGGTCGATACATCTAATGTAAAATAATAATAATAATAAATAAATAAAACTTATGCCACAACACTAAAGTAAAACACTAAACTCTGTGCGTCTGTCATACACACCAACTATTAAAGACTAAACAATGCAGATAGTGGATATGTTTTGTGTGCATATGTGTCTATGTATAATATGTATATATATCATAAATAGTATTTATTAAATCCACATTTATTGTTTTCCTTATATTCTTGTACAGATACATTGTCTATGATGTTGCGCAGGTCAAGGTTCAATACTTACTCAAGATGAAGTTTAATTACAACTAATTTTGTACATGTTCCACATTGTTAATAATATGTATATGGAGCTTTTACATTTGTTTTTTAATGTTCAACCAACATACAATATAAGATATTTGATTAAACAAATTTCAAATTAAATATTTCATTTGTTAAATAATTTTCTTGAATTGTAAGATTACATCACAATGTCATTGTTAAATACTGTGCTGTATCAATTTACAAATAAAGTTTTGTAAAAAAAAATTACATTTTTTTCGTTTTTATTTGGAAGACCCGACCCTTTTTTTTTTTTATAAACCTTTATTTTTTAAATAATAACATATTACAAATATACATGTAAAGGTTTGTTTTTGTCACAACACTCATATTATGACGTATATAAGTTCATAAGGTGTGTCCAAGTATATTCAAGTAATTCTAAACCTGATAGTGCAAATAAATTGTCGCTTTGCATTTTCTATTGAATTACTAGTATTTTCTGATGCTGTGACCAAAAAACTGAACAGTAGACTAAAATGGGATAGACCATAGGCTTAAACAGTACAATCATTGCTTCTGTAACCTTAATTTTTTTTTGTTCTATGTACACAACCTAAAATTTGATTAGCCTTATTAATATTTGAAATGTAGTGAAAGTTACGTCATGTTAGAGTAGGTTTTTCCAAAGTTTTTAATGGTGGTTTGCCTGTCCACTTGGATTTCTCGTACAGTGTAAATATAAAAGACAACATTACATCCAAGACTGAACCAAAAACTTTACATTTATTTACATATAGTTTCATGCTGTGGCGTGAACTCACTCTACAAGATTATTTATAGATTTTTGCAGAAGCTGAGCATCATGAATGGACGTGATAGCAGCATTGACCTTCAGGACAACGTTACATCCAAGACTGAACCAAAAACTTTACATTTATTTACATATAGTTTCATGCTGTGGCGTGAACTCACTCTACAAGATTATTTAAAGATTTTTGCAGAAGCTGAGCATCATGAATGGACGTGATAGCAGCATTGACCTTCAGGTCATTAGCGAAGAGGGAGAAATTAGCTGAATATGATTTTAATTATTTTTAGTGGCCTTATGAACTTGCATATTAGCCAAGAAACATGATTTTTTTTTTAAGTAGGAGGAGGGTTGCATGAAAAACTGGCCAGGGGTGTTGGTGGGAATCAAAGCCACGGCCACGGGGTCTAGAGCTGAGACTTTGAGAGTCTATCACGCTGACCACTCTGCTACTACTATCCCCAAATTAGCTGAGTAAAAACAAGGATAAATATCATTAATAAATGCTGTGAAAAGGAATGGACCGAGTAATGATTTTATGAAGTCATATTGGCGATGTAAAAATATCACTTTTGAGTAAATACTTAATCAAGATTTCTTTACGAGTGGCAATTACAAAATTGGGATACAGTTAAGTAATTAGAATAAAAAAATATTGAATGTCGTTTTGAAAATAGTAACATTAATGATGAAGCATTTGAAAGCAATATCTTTGCTGATTTTTTCTGACAGTAGAAAGAAACCAATTTGGCAATTCATTGGTCAAACTACAGTTTTCCTCAGACCACACTGGGAAACCTCACAATTTTTTAAAAGTTGTTTTTAGAAGATGGAGGGTTTTACTGGTTTTGTCTTCTCAGATTTCAGTTGTGGGAGAACCAAGATTAGACAGACCAGGATGATTGGAAATAACTAAAGTAAAGGTGCATATATTTACTTTTACCGCACCGAGCTGGCATTATACCAGCTTCATTGGTGGACAAACTATGATGGGAAGACTAGGATGATTGAAAAGGACTAAATTATAGGTGCCTTTAGTTTTTCCACTAACTTCACCAGGAATCCTCATAATCTTTTGGTTTTATGATCATTTCCATCATATTAGTTCGCTGGTTTTGCCTGTTGGACAATTTTCTGACCGAGAGGTGCATTTGGTTGTTCTTGACACTTCACTGAGAAATCTCATGATCATTTTGTTTTGTGGTACTTTCAAATCATGTTAATCCATCTATCTTTGCTGGTTTTCTATGCCAAGTGTTTCAGCGGCTTCATTTGTGACTGAACCAGGCAAGATGGGCAGACCAGGATGGACAAACTACAAGTGCATTTGGTTGTTCCTCATACTTCACCGAGAAATGTCAATCGTTTTGTTTTGTGGTACTTTCCGATCATCTTAATCCGTCTATCTTTGCTGGTTTTCTATGTCAAGTGCGTTTTGGCAGCTTCAGTTGTGACCGAACCAGGTAGAATGGGCAGACCAGGATGATTAAACTGCAGGTGCATTTGGTTGTTCCTCAGACTTCACTGGGAAACCTCATATTGTTTTGTTTAGTGGTACTTTCTGATCGTCTTAATCCATCTATCATCGCTTGTTTGTATAAGTGCATTTTGGCAGCTTCAGCTGTAAATGAACCAGGCAAGATGGACAGACCATGGTGACAGGACGACCAAACTTCAGTAGCATTTACTTTTTTCAGGCCTCTCCAGGAATTCGTGTTTTCAATGTTGACAAACCATTGAGGCTAGAAAGACTAGGATGACAGAAATGACTTAAAATTAAATACTTTCTTGTACAGTTTCAGCACCGATGTCACTTAATCTTTCTATTTCGGAAAAAAATCAAATAACGTAAATGCACGTAGTTTGACTCCATTGTCATCTAATTTTGTAAATATAAAGGACCTGGAGGCATATAGTCTGGAACAATCATTTAGAATTTTTTAACATCGCCTGGATCGAGATCATGAGAAACTAAGGATGAAAAGTGAAAATTATATAGGATAACTTCATGAAGTTTGGCGAAGTAAAAGTATCATTTTGAGTAGATATCTAATCCAGATTTTAAAAATGCCAAATATCGCAAAATTGGGATTCGGTTAAGCAATTAGGCTAACAAAATATGTCGTTTTCAAAGTCTGCAATATTAACGACGATACAGTATTTGAACAGGAATAACTTTCAATACTTGACAATAGTCGTACTGACGAATTAGTGTAGCGTGGAGAAAATTTACTTTTTGTTGCAAACGAAAGAAAATCGTCGTCGACGGTGGTTCAAACATAAGATTGTTGTCTAATTAGCCAATTCTTCTGGAATGGTGCCCCGGCCGGACTTGAAGAGTGGGGAATGAAGGGTTTTCCTCGACTTACACTTTCAGTCTTCAACAGTTTGACTGGAGAGTAAGGTGGTTCGACTATCAGGTACGCGCCGAATTCTATTAAACTTATGATTACCGTAAATTAGAATTAAAAAAAAAATATGTCTTACATTTGTGTCATTTTTATTATTTGAAAGATCGAGGAAAATGAAATCTTTCCTTTTTATCAATAATAATTTTTGATTTGTCAGTACGCGAAGAAATCTATTTAACTTGTGCTTACCGTAAATTACTTTTTTTTAACGGTTTTTAAATGTATGTTTTACATTTTTGACTTCTTTATTATTTGAAAGTTCAAGCAAAATAAAATCTTTCCTTTTTATCAATAATAATTTTTGATTTATCAGATACACGCCGAAATCTATTAAAGTTGTGCTTATCTTAAAATTCAAATTTTTTTAAATCTCATTTTGGACGTTTTTATTATTTGAAAGATCAAAGAAAATAAAATGTTTCCTTTTTATCAATGATAATTTTTGATTTATCAGTATGCGAAAAAATCTATTTAACTTGTGCTTACCGTAAATTACATTTTTTAAAATTTGTTTTACATTTTTGACTTCTGTATTATTTGAAAGTTCAAGGAAAATAAAATCTCCTTTTTATCAATAATAATTTTTTATGTATCAGATACACACCGAAATCTATTAAAGTTGTGCTTGCCGTAAATTACAAATCTTTTTTTTTTATGTCTTTCATTTTTGACTTTTTTATTATTTGAAAGATCGAGGAAAATAAAATCTTTCCTTTTTATCAATAATAATTTTTGATTTATTTTTGATTTAGCTGATTTTTTATTAATAATAATTTCCCGAATTATCTTTAATTTGCGCTTACCGTAAATTGAAATTTTTTTTAAAATTTATGTCTTACATTTGACATCCTTGAAAGATCAAGGAAAAAATAATCTTTCCCTTATATAATAATAATTTTTATTTTGTTTAAACCATTACTTTGTACTATTAACGTAATAAATTAATGTAAGCTCTTCGTTATTCCGAAGTTGATTTTCTGATGCACTTAAGATAAAGTGAATTTTTTTAAATGTCCAAATCGTTACAAAAATTGAACTTTAAACTTGATTTAAATTAAAATCTATAATTATTATAAGCATTAACTAAATATGGCCATAAAAGATGGCCCAATTTTGCATTGAATTACTCTTAGAATGGAGCCAACACTTTTTTTAAAAATGTGTTTGTTTGTCTGTATTTCTTTAAATATTTACAATTGGAAATCGGTTTAATGCCTTAATTACAAAACTTATAATTTTAAATTCAACAATACATAAATTCATAGTCACCGTGAGACCGCACGAAAACAACGCATTGTTCCACGACGAAACCGATTCTAATCCGATTTCCACCAAAATATATCAGAAAATTTTCGTTGGAAAATTTAAAATTTATCTTGTTTAAACAATGGAATTAATTTTCATTACAAAAACCCACGAATTAATAAGTGTAAATGGTATAATTCTATGCCTAGTAGATACATTTTTCTTTGATGTATAAAAAGTTTGAACGCAACTCCTAGAAAAACCATCTGATCTCTTTATTTTCCACCCTATAGTCTATCAAAATGAAATATTTAGTTCTGTCCAAGCCTTTTCTTTCAACGCCATCCGGTTCTTAATTTCCATCAATTGCATATTGCCCAGTAGACTGTTTTGCAATCCCAAATTTTTAAATTTGGTATCCCATGTTTGAGTTTTGTTCTGAAAGCTTGGCAATCTGTCACCATATCTGTACTTTTGTATATGTTCAAATTAAATCGGATACGTCTTTCGGTTCGTAGTGCTTTTGGTTGAAATATGCTGTATACCGCCAAATTTCCACGTCTTTGTACTTTATTGCCTATTATGTCCACGTATCGGCAAAATATTGTTTGTTTGCTTGTTACCTATTATCTCGGTCTTCCTATCCTCGCTGATTTTTGTTAGTTCGGACATGTGGAGTCCATAGAAATCACCCAAACTTCAGTGTCAACTATCAAACAATAGATTTATCATCCCGCAGGCCACAGGAGGAAATCTCACAAAAATCATTTGATAATTAACTAATAACACCTCTCATATTTTTTAATATCAGCCTTCAATTATAATTTTATATTGAAAAATCAGGGTTAAGGCCAATCTGGAAAGAGTTCCTTCCTCGACCTTTCGAGGATGTTTATATTTACCTTGTAAATGTTTAACAATTAATATGCTTATGAAGTTCCTGTTAAAAGTCTTGGAATTATCGACCACTTTTTTATTTACGAATAATCTGGATCTCGGTTTGGTCTGGATGAAAAAACAAATTCAACTATCTGCCAAGGTTTCGACCCATTTTAAGGTCATCATCTGGGCAAAACAATTTTAAAGATGTCTAGAAATTGAAATAATTAAGTTTTTATAAATGGTTTCAAATTTAATTATGTCAATGTGTAAACATCTTTAAGATTTATTCTTTTTTTCTTCTTGGTTGTTTGCTTGTTTTAAGATCTTTTTAGATGTTTTTTTAGGAAATCTACCTATGGTGAAAGATCTTTAAGATTCTTTTGCCCTGATGATGTCTTAAAATAGACCGAAAGCTTGGTAGATAATTGATTTTTTTCACACAGACCATACCGAGATCCAGATTATTTATATAGGATACAAATTTTTCGAAAATTTCTAAAAAGTAGCTGAGTATTTTCAATATTAGCCTTGTCCCTGATTTTCCAATATAAAAATCTAACGAGTACATTGCAGAAGTTTGATAAGAGGCAGTTTAAAAAAAAAAATTTTTTTAACACAAGCTGTTTTGCAATATTGTAATTTACTCTGTCACAGGACACTGTATAGCTATCTCAGGGCGGAAGTTTCATAACTTTCTTCCATTTTCGCGTAAAACTTCCAGTGGAAAAATATTTATTAAAAAATCGTGTTAATTTCTTGTCGCGACTAATCCATGCGTGTATAGTTTTTACGGCGAGCCAGACCACGACGTAAACCGTTTAATTGGACGTGAAATTACTGTTGTGAAAAAAATGAAGCTATCAGCGAATCTTCCAGTACTGCGTAATAGGACACTTGCTGAATCCGGCTAGTTAGTGACAAAGCATAACTGCATTTCCTTTGTACTTTATTTTGTTTATGTCACACTATTACTGGCTAAATTCCAGCAATAAAGAAACGAAAAACAATTCCACTACACGCGAAAAGGTTTTAACATATTGTAAAATAATAAAAATTACCGTCAAGATTGAATCTTAAGTTTGAAGGTTTAGGTCACAAGTTATCATACCTTTCCTTTAAAAACTAATACATAATATTTGCTACTCATTTGAGACAACCAGAGAGGCTTTTTAAACAGTTGAGCAACTTTCAAGGAAATGATTCGAGATGCAGAATTTCACCAAGTCAAACACATTGTCTTCAACCTTGGCTCTCTTCAGTTCAAGTATCTAATCAGTGGTAGTGGTCATAATTAACCATATTAATTATTCCAATTAATTATTCTTTTTATCTAAGGTTTTTGGTTGAGAAAAAAATAGCGTGATGAGCGGGATTCGAACCCACGATCCTCGACTCAATGCGCCGCTTGAGTGCTATCGTGACTTAAACAGGATAGAGGGAAGTGGGTCGTGGGTTTGAATCCCGCTCGTGACACTAATTTTACATCTCAACCAAAAACTTAAATAAAAAGAATAATTAATTGAAATCTAATCAATATTTTACTTTTCTCGTTCAATAATGAACATCTCATTTAAAGAAAATGTACAATATACTATATTTTCTATGAGTAGAACAAACTTTAAATAAATTGTTATTTTTAGGTATTATGCAGTTGAAGGAATTTCCATTTAAAAACGGAGGTACTTCCGTTCCCAAAGAGAGGAAAGAAGACGTGGCCTCGGTTCGAAATTGGCTGCAGCACCAGGCTCATTTACCTAGGATCTCAGGTGGGTCTGCTCTTGGAATGGTTTTATTTTAAACCAGAGCCCTTTATTTGTTTTGGACAAATCTAGTAAGACCGCGTTGAAAGATTCCAAGGAAGACGGGTTCCGAAATTGGTATTATCGATTACTGAGCAATTCCTTCAGAACTCTTTTGTTTTTGTGGTGGTTTACGATATTCTCGGTCCGTCTATGGCTGCTTGATCAAAACCAGACGTACATTGCCTAAGATTTTGCTATCTTTAGTGGTGGAGGACTAAAGAGCATAGGCAGACGAATATCGGAAACGAACAAGTTGCATTCAGTTTGTTCTCTAGAAATCATCGGGAAATCTCATAATCCTTTTCTTTCATTTTGTTCTGCTGGTTTTGTATTCAGACATTTTTTACAGCTTCAGTGATGGACGAAGTGCATTTACTTTTCCCCTGACTTCATCGGGAAACATCATATTATTTTTGTTGTTGTCGTTTTTCAATAATTTTATCCCAACTATTCTCTCTGATTTTATCTGTCAGACGCGTTTAGGGTGGGAACCAGGGAAGACCGGTAGACCAGGAAGATAGAAAACGACCAGACAACAGGTGCATTTAGTTTTTTCGCGATTTCAGCGATAAACTTCTTAATTCATTTATTTTTTGTGGTCGTTTCCGATCAACCTGGTCCGCCTTTACAAGCTATTTTATCCATTTTATGTGTCAAGACTATCTTGCATGGCGGACGAAACGTGATTGTGCAGACCAAGAAATTGGATACATTCAAACTCAGGTGAAGTTTGTTTTTACCAAGACCCAACCGGAAACTTTACAATTCTTTTGTTTTATGGAAGTTTCCGATCAATTTTGGCCGTCTAGCCTCGCTGGGTTTTTGTCAGATGCGTTTTCAACTGGTCGACCAAGGATAGGCAGACCAGGATGGCAGAACACAAACCAACTGCAGATGCATTTAATTGTACCTCTGACCACACGGGACACGTCACCTTCTTTTATTTTTTTAGTCGCTTTTCGATCATTTTAGTCCATTTAGCACCCTGGATTTGTCGGTCAGACGCCGGGTTTCCAGCGGTGGACAAACGGAGGATTTGAAGACTAGGATGATGAAAAACAGTTGGTTCATCACCTCGTTGGGTTCTACAGGAAATCTCCAAATATTTTCTATTTGTGTTGGTGTATGATAATCTTGGTACGCCTTTCCTCGCTGTTTTTGACTGTCAGACGCAATCCAGTGATCGACAAACCGTGGAGGATAGGCAGACCAAGATGACAGACCACGATGAAACTAAAGACAAATTTAGTTTTTCTTAAACCTCACCGAGAAACCTCTTATCTTTAGTTGTTACACTAGTTTTTTAATTATTTTGGCCCCCATCCTCGCCTGTCAGAACTAGGAAGGACAGGTAGCCTAGATGACGGCAAAATCAAACTACAGGTGCATTTAGTTTTTCACTTGATTAACCTCCAAAGCCATTGGTTTTTGTAGTTGATTCATATCGGTCCGCCCTTTGTTCGCTGGTTTGTCTGTCAACTGAGTGATCGGCATATCACAAATTTCAGTGAAGGGCAAACCGAGGAGGATTTAAAGACGAGGATTATAGAAAACGACCAAACAGTTTTATCACCTCGTAAATTCACAGTGAATTGCAAAATATTTTGTTTTTTTAGTCGCTTTCGTTCATTTTAGTCCGTCAATCTTCACTGTAATTTTGTCTGGGAGAAAAAAAGGCACCAATTCGGCATCCTTGATAGGTACACGAACCAGGGAGGATATCGAAAACTATTAAACTATAGGAGCAATTAGTTTATCCTCAGACGAAACTGGGAAACCTCAAATCTCTTGATTTTGCAGTGGATTTTAGTTTTTAGAAGCTTTACTATTTTTTTTTTCTCTCAGACACGTTTCTAGTGGCGAACAAAGTCAGATTATGCACTCTAAGATTATCGGGAACGACTAAACTGCAGGTGCGTTTAGTTTTTCCGCAAACTTCACGGGAAACCTGACAATCTTTCGTTCAGTCCGCCTAGCATCGCTAGTTTTGCCTCTCAAACGGATTTCCAGTGGTGGACAAACGTTGGAGGATAGGCAGACTAGGATGACCGGAAAGGACTATACTACTGGTGCTTTTAGTTTGTCCGCTCACTTCACCGGAAAACCTGGTTCTTTTTCATCATCTTAGTCGCCGGTTTTTGTATATCAGGCGCGTTTCGGCAGCTTCAGTGATGGACAAACCAGGATGACAGAGCACGACCAAACTACAGGTGCATTTACCTTTTCTCAGACCACCCTAGGAAACCCCATATCTTAGTTTTTGAAATCGATTTTCGATTCTTTTAGTCCTCCTATTTTCGGATAGAAATAACCTAACAGCTTCATCCCGTACATTTTAACTTTTTTCTTATAACTTTTAAATCGGTTTTTGAGGATATGAACTTTTTAATTGACATGCTAAAAGTTGTCCAGTTTAAGGAAAGATTAATGTAAATAAATTTCCAATCGAGCGGTATGCATAATTCTTTCGCGGCACCTGGTTAGCTGTACTTGGAAGCAATGACATACAATTGCAAAACAAATTTTAAGTTTATTTAAGTCAATTGTTTATAAACAATATATGTAATGTTTGTGACTTGAATGAGCGAAGGTCTCAGAACCCCCACCCGATGTGTGTGAATTGACGTCGACCTTTCGCACCTCTTCTCGAACAAGGACGAGGAACAAACTACATCCTTGGTCGATCCTGTGAAGAGATTAATATGTAATGAACAAATGACAAGCGATGTCGCGTTTAGAATGATTGATGGCTTATCTATCGGCAGGCTAATTTTAGATTCGTAATTTTTTTCCAATAAAGTATTTTATGCTTAACAGAAAACCATTGCATGATCTATGTTGCATATTTTCTTTTTTTCCGTGTAAATAATAGATGTAAGCTTGCACTTGTCGAAGTTGTATCCCTTCCAGTTCAACATATATTCTCGGTGAAGGACGGAATTTGGTGTGGTGAAAGGTGCCCCAGTTTAGTTCGACTCTGGACAGAATCATATTTTGATAGTGGCAACTATTTCAGAAAGTGTTGAAATTTTTAAGCGAGAGACGGAAATACCGGGCCAGAGGACTCGCTTAACATACCGATAGATTCTTGCATACCTTTGAGGACGGCTGAAAAATTCGGCAATGTACAATGTAACTGCCATCTCATGCCCTTATCGACACGAGGACGGGGTTTCCAGACCGAGGCCGTTCTACCGATTTCGATGTCAACCATTTTCGGAAAGGTTCAATACAATTAAACCAAAGTCAAAAACAAATTGAAGCATTTTACACCTCACAAAAATAACAATGATAAGAACAAGTTTGGGACATGCAAACAAAATTTTGAATTGTGAGATTTATTATTGATGTATGTGGGGTGATGAACACTTTTTTTGACTGTTTTTGATCATCCTGGTGCGCATATCTTCGCTAGGTTTTTTTCTGCCGCTGAAGCTTTTCGCCGTATTCAATTGTTGAATTAACGAGTTTTTATAATCCAACAAAATTTTCCATTGTGAGATTGCTTTTGGAGTGTGCGAAGTGATGAACCTATATTTCGTTGTTTTCGTTCATTTATGTCCACTTATGCTTGCTAGTTTCTACTAAGCAGCTTCTAAAAGAATTGTTGTTGCTTTATAAGAATTTCTGTCTCTCATAGTATTGGCTACATACAAAAAAAAATCACGACCTACAATACAACCTACACTTCGGTCATTTCCGATCGTCGTAGTCTGCATATCCGCGAGGTTTTTATGATGTCAAATATGTTTCGACATCTTCGGAGATGTTTGCAGTTGAGGGTTATAAGAAGGGCGGCAAGACAAAAACCCACAGTCGGAAATGTCGAAACGCGTCTGACAGACCGAAACAGGCGAGGATAGATGAAAATTATTGGAACGACCAAACTACCATTTTTAGAACTGTAATTTTTAACAAACGGTACAAAGTAAGAAGAAAATATAAGAAGATAAGAATAGTACGATAAAGCGTGAGAAAGAAGGAATCATCAGACTAAATCTTTGTTGTTTGACTAAAATAATAGTAATGAAAAATTTTAGTAGGCTTTTGCTGAAAAACTGGTTAGTTTAATCTTGGGATGAGCATTTATCAAATTATTATTCCGTAAAACTACTTTCGTTCTGTTATTCTGATTTGTAACGGAAGGTATGTCACCAAAATATCGCGATATGTAACCTAACCCTAACCCTGACTCACCTAACCTAGCCTGTCCCCCCTAACCAACCTAACTTAACCTTAATCGATGACTCAATAAAAATGGCTAGCTCAATAACAAATCGACTTAAAAACCAATTTTTGATAAAACAATGACCAATTTTGAAAGATGTTTTATACTAGTACTTATTGCTATTTTTTGTCCTTTTTCCGGCGAGCTTCATCACAACCCTTAAAAATTAATAGTATAATGAGTTAAACGTTTAAAAATATGCAAACAAATTTTTAGATTGTTTTCATCTTGAGGTCAGGAAAGAGCCTGTTTTTGGACGTTTTCGATCACCTCGGTCTGTATATGCTCGATATTATTATAATATGTCAGACGCGTTTCGCTTTGTTTTAGTGATATGTAGTAATGGCATTGTGATTGATGAAGGATATAAGCAAGGTGAGGCAAGATACAAGCCCAGTACAAAGATGGACGACCAAACTAAGCGATTTTCCGTGCAGAACTAGGATTTTTTAGTATAAAGGATTAGCAAGAAGAAAATATAAGATTAACCTACCGAAATAAAACGTCAGAGACATGTAATCATTCTCAGACACATGCAATTTGTGTGAAAAAATATTAGTTTTTTGCTGATAAACAAAGAGAATCAGCCTTGAAAAGTACTATTATATCTTGATTAATTAATTTAATTTTGGGATTTAAATGATTATAGAGTGAAATCTTATTATTATTCAGTATTAATAAGCGATGCAAAGAAATATGTATTTGGGCTCAGTTATATTATTTATTATGAAAGGTA